GGTTGACTCAGCCTTCCATCCTTCCGAGGTGGGTGAAATGAGGACCCGGATTGTTATTGGGGCCAATATGCTGACTCTGTAAACCACTTAGAGAGGGCTGAAAGTCCTATGAAGCGGTATATAAGTCTAACTGCTATTGCTATAAAAAAAAGGAGGCGGCGGGAGATCAGAAAAATTGGAATATGGACTTTGAACTTTTGGTTCAAAGGACTACCGACAAGATGTGACAAATTAGTGATCTGATTACCTAAAGGAACAATAAAAGCCACCTACTGGAGAGAGGAGACATAAGACCATCTTGAAACAAAGGAATTGAAGAAGGGTACTTGACTTTATTTTGTTTACACTGGAAGAAAATATAGAACTTTTGAATTTTGGAAAAGGATTGGATTATCTTGGGATCTGATATAAAAGAGAAGGACTAAGAAGAAGGACTAAATTAATTGTGATAAAATATAAAAATATTAAAAGTGTATTACATTTGATCATGGAGGGAGGAGTTTTTGGAAATGTTAAAAAGTGCACGAGAAATATTAAAAGGTAACAAAGAGGGAGAAAAGGAACCAGAAAAATTGTTGAAAGTGGAGACAGGAGGGGAACAGACAAGCAATGTAAATGAACAAGGAATTAACAAGGTAGAAATGGAAAATAAAACTCAAAGAGGTAAAGGAGTAAAGGCACAAAGAGAGCAGAGAGGGGGGAAAAGGGAAACGACATCCGAAAAAGAAATTAGCCAAAAATAAAGAGAGAATAAAGAGAGATGGGAAAGAGGAATTTGGGAGAAAGATATTCAAAAAATCTATCGAAAAGTGAGAGAGAAAATATAGAAGAAAAGATATAAGAAAAAGAGAAGATAAAATTTAGAAATAGGAGAATAGTAGAATGATATGATCCAGTAGAAAGAGAGGTTGTTAACAAGGTAAAAATATATTGTAATTAGAATGTGTGGGAATTATAGAACCTTAAAGCTGTTAAATAACTATGTTATGTTGATTATATAAAACTTGAAATTTGAAACTTGCACATTCATATTGTTAATGGAAAATAGGTGGAAAAGAAATGATAAATTGTTTATTTTTAAAGAGAAAGAAATATTATAGTTTGTACATGTTAAAAACAAAATGAAAAAAATATGAGAAGAAAAGTAATACGGCTAAAATTGGAAATAATGGAAATATAATGTAAAATGAATTATGTCTTTTGGTGGGAATGTTAAAGGGGGAATTCGGACAACACTGTTCACAAAAGAACAATGTTTATTATGTAACAAAAATAAATAAAATAAAATAAATAAATAAAAAACTTTAATAAAATAGCCACTTTCAATTGTAGGAATCTGTGATTCTGATCACAAGTTTCAGCCTTGTCTGAATCATGTTTTGCAAATTTTGCGAATGGTTATCATCTGCTCAATAAATTATATTGTTAAAAGATTCATTTTCAATCAAAGTACAAGAAATGTAGAATCAACATTTTTTGTGCTCTGGGCTGAACAAAGAATAAACTTTTAGTAGCAAAACATTTAACAGCCTCAATGAACAAACTATAAATGCGATAGAGGAAATTTTTTCATTTAGATTTCATTTAATGCCCACTAAAAGAAGAGTTTTACAGTAAACGATAACATCAATTACGTAATTATACAAATTATGTACATTCAGAATTAAGGGACAATGGGTTTAACATGCAACACCCATCTTTCTGAATGGTCAGGTATATTTAAGCTTTACTCTCCAAATATATAAGCATCAAATAGAATCAGAACTAATGTGAGTGCTGTGTCCTTTCAAAAATCAGTTTAATCATCTTCTTCGTTAATGTCTATGTTTTACAAAAGAATGTGCATCTAAAAACCATGTTTTATTGTGTATTATTTTCTTCGTGTACTCACTCATTCCTTTCGTATCTAAGGGCTTCCCGGATAGACCATGCAACTTGGTATGGAGAGGTTTGATCTAATTCTTCCAGTTCTTCTCCACTATCTTCAGACCAGTCCAACCCTGAAAAGGGAGGAAGAAGATGAGCTTCTTTCAGACACATTCAAGTGCCCCTGGATTTCTTTCTCCAGGACAGACGATCTATATTTCTGACTTTATGATGAAATAGTAATCAGTAATCAGTAAACAGTAATGAGTACCCTGTATATCCCGAGGAAGCATACTGAGACATTCCTTTATGGATTACCTTATTCTTTCCAATAAACAAATGAAAAGACCCAATGTTCCTCCAATTAGTTTGCTCACATACAATTAGTCCAGAACGCAGCCGCGCGAGTGATATTGGGTGTACCGAGGTTCACCCACGTTACACCTATCCTCCGCGAGCTGCACTGGCTTCCTATTGGTCTCCGGACGCAATTCAAGGTGCTGGTTATCACCTTTAAAGCCCTACATGGCTTAGGACCAGGATCCCTGTGAGACCGCCTACTGCCACATATCTCCCAGCGGCCGCTGAGATCCCATAGGGTGGGCCTCCTTCAGATGCCGTCAGCCAGAGAATGACGGCTGGCGGCTCCCCAGAGGAGGGCCTTCTCTGTGGCTGCTCCGGCCCTTTGGAATGAGCTACCCCCAGAGATCCGGACCTTGCCCACT